TGTTCTGTGCTAATACACACAATAGAAATACAACTCATGGTCTATATTCACCTGTTATCCCATGAGGTTGAGAAACTCAGTTACAGGTTTCTAGGCACTTTCTCCAACACTGTTCGGTCATTTCCAACTAGAGATAATTCTGTGTTCTGTGGTCTATGCCTTTCTCTACTTTCTTGTTCTTAGTTGAATTAGTCTAGCTAGGACTTAAGTAAAAAGAGTGGCTGCCTTGTCTTGTTCCTGTTCTGGTTGGAAAGCAGCCCACCTTTTCCCATTAAATACAATATTAGTTTCAGTTCTTTTTGGCGTTGACCCCCTTTTTCTTCAGGCTGAGGAAGTTCTCTTCTGTTTCTAATTTGCTGAGTTTTTATAATGAATGAATGTTCCATTATGTCAGATCTTCTTTTACATCTATTGAGATGATCATGTGGGTTTCTCTCTCTTTTTTTAGTATGTTAATATGGTAAGTTACACTGATTGATTTTCAAGTGCTACCCCAAGCTTGTTTCTTCTTTCCTAGGATAAACCCCACCTGCAACACCAGCAATGATATATTATCTTTTTTTTTTTGATATTGCTAAATTCCATTTGCTAAAAATCTTAAGCACTTTTGAGTTGTATTCATGTTGGATATTAATTAACCTGCAGTTGTTTTATAATATCTTTTGTGTAGCTTTTATAAATTAGAGTAATTCTGGGATCATGAAATAAATAGAGCCATCTATGTTTGAGAAAACTTGATAAAGTATTAGTATCCCTTCTTTCTTAGATGTTGGATAGAACTCACTGATGAAGTCATATGAGCCGGAAACATTCAGACTTTTTAATAGATAAGTGCTTACTCATTACTTGTATTTTTTTGAGTGAACACTGGAAAATTGTGTATTTTAAAGAAAATTGTCCGTTCAATCTAAGCTGTGAGATTGAAGGGCATAAATTGTTTTATAATCTTTTCCTTATGCTTTCAATGTCTGTGGGCTCTGTAGTGATGCTCCTTTGATTCCCAATGTCGTCATTTTGCCTTTTCTTAATGAGGAATATAGAAAATACATCACCTTCCTTTATATGGGTTCAGATCTATCTTTGTGTACATGACTGGCCGTAACTGAAGGCCAGCTAACTCCAGCTTTGTATACAGGAATGGGGCAGTGAGAAGGACCAGGCCTTGACTCTGCCTAGACTTACCTTCTGTCCTGACTGCCCAGGGCCCTCGCTCTCCCTCAGTCACCGCTGAGGGTGACCACAGTGACTCAGATAGGAATACCCTCTGCACTTACAGTTTGCCAAGTGGAGAGAGTGGCCCCCTGGACCCTTCCACTTTCCCTTTCTTTTCTGCTTACCAGAGTAGGTGGTAATGACACTGGCCCACAGTCACCAACCAAGTAGCACTCTTTCCAGTTCTTTTGTTTTTTTGCCTCTTCAAACTGTGTGCTCTGATTTTCAAGTACTTCTTTACAGTAGCTCACAAAATCAGTATCCAAACACAAGGCAGCAGGTGTTATGATCACCCCACTTTATGGACAAGGGAATGGGGCTGGGAGGGATTAGCTGACATACCTAAGGGCCCGCACGTTAGCCGCTGTGCTGAGCTGACCCTCTGAATCATCTGAGACTGGCGCACGGGCTCCTGCCTGTCCTCAGCACGTGGAGGGCCCAGAGGTGCCAGCCCATCTTCCGTCTGCATCCTGGAGAGCAGGTTGTGGCAGCGCTGGCCTGGTCTATCTCTGGGGGCTCGGCATTGGGTGGAGTCCTCCGGAAGGAAGAGGGTTGACTTGAGGTCAGAGCAGGCAGGGCCAGCCGGGATTTCTACAGCCCACAGGGTCACAGTGGCTTCCTCAAGGTGGGTGGACCAGCCTTTCCTGCTGCAGGGCTCCAGTGCCCAGCCGAGCTGCACCCAGAAACACTTTTGCTCCTCATTCTGAAGTTGCGCTTGGAGAAGCCAGGCGCTTCTTTGGTTTGACATTTTGACATCTCTGAACGGATAGTTGATGTTCCTTATGTTCAGCTCTTTTTCTGCTCTACTTAATTTTCCTGTTGATAGCTCCCTCCCCCCATGAAGGTCACAGCGGTCAGTGGTTGTTTTTTCCTCTGACCTGCACAAATGAGATTTGTCAGTTGGGCCGTTCATTATGGTCTGTCCCCTGTCAGTTCCTTTCTGTTTACTCATCTGTAGAATTCCTGGAGGCCTATGTCCAATCTCAAATCCTGCAATTTTTTTTTTTAAGATTTATTTATTTATGCATACAAGAGCAGGGTACAGGCCAGAGGTACAGGGGTGAGAGGATGCCCCAGAGACAGAGTGGGGAGCAGAACAGGCGGATTGACTGAGATACACTGCTGAGGGGAGCAGCGGGCGGGCCAGGAGAGGTCTGCTGCCCCCTGTGGGTCAGCTTCCTGGCCAGGGATCAAACTCATGCTGCAGAGACTGGGGATAGACTCACAGTGCTGCACTTTAACCCGTTGCACGTACAGGAGGGCCCTCAAATCCTGCAGTCTTGCAGTGGCCTATTGTGAGGAGCAGGAGAGTGTTAGAGCTGGGTCGACCCTGTGCTCAGCCTAGAGCGGGCCGGGGTGGGTGCCCTTTGACAACTGGGGAGAGGGGGAGGCCACCAGCAGGCTGAGGATGGAGCGGGTGCTCTGGGGCCCAGGCTGGTGTCCTCCCTGCTTTTCCAGAGTGAATGGATCCTAGAGCCACTTTGTCTCACTTGTGTGAGAAAGCAACTGTTTCTCCTTGTAGCTGGGAAAAGTGCCCATTTTACCCTGAGGTGTGCAGATTCTCCCCTGACTGACTGATGTGGGCAGTCAGAAGGAGGGAGCCGGTTAATGAGAAGCTGCCTTCCTCCTGGTGGGGTCTCAGAACCCGCACCCCCTGCACCCCCCCCAGCCCCCCGAGATGTCGCCTGGATAGAATCCAGCTTCCCCTCGTCTCTCCTAGGAGCCCAGGTGTGTTTATTTACCGCTGTCTCTGGGCAGTGTGCGCCAGGCTCTGTCTCTGGGACGGCTGTTTCTGTCCCCTTTTTAGCCTCGTGCTGGACGCTCCCGGGCACAGACCAGTGAACCGCAACTACCAGGAAGCCAGGGAAGGCGCGGCCCTGCCCCGCCCCGGCCGGGCTCAGTGGAAAAGCTGTGGCTTGCCCAGGTTTCCCTGTGATTTATGCTGCATGCAGGAGACTGTGGTGTGTATGGAGAACTCATTTACAGCCTGTGTAGCTCAGCCCCTAGATAGAACTTCAGGACAATATTTGATTTTCCTGTTTCACGGGGGAGGTGGGAAAGACCACAGCAAGGGAACATAACACCGTTTTTGAAAACAAAAATAACTAGACGTGGCTGCCTTGGATTTCGTCAACTGGTCTCTCCGCCCGCTAGTGCGGATGGCATCCTGTACCTCAAAAAGCCGTGCCACGCAGGAAGAGGGCGGACCCCAGCCCTGGGTTCCGGCGGCTCAGCGCATTCAAGGCAGGACCGCGGGGGCCCTGGCTCACAGACAGCCCCCCACTTCCAGGAAACAGCTGGGGAGGTGGGCCAGTGTGCGAGTCATCTCTGTGCCCCGGGGATGCCGTGGGGTACTGAAGCCCCTGGTGGGGACACCCCGCTGTGGCAGGGACCGAGGGGACGGGCTGGGGACGCCTGTGGACTGTGGCCGAGGCAGAGGGCTGGGCTGGGCGGGCCGTCCCTGACAGCGGGGGCCTGGGGTGGCCACAGTGCCGGTGCCATGGGCAGGTGCGTCTCTGCGTGAGGGTGAGTGCGTGGAGGTGCGTGAGGGGAAAGTGTGAGTCTGTGTGTGTGTTTGCCGTGTGGGGCTGTGTGTTGTGCCTGTGGACATGTGAGAGTGTGTGCACGCTCACGGTGTGAGTGTGAAGTGTGCGTGTGTGAGTGTCAGCGGCCGAGTGCGTGCATGTGATTAAGTGTGGGTGTGATTTTGGGCTTGTGTGTGTGTGCGCGTCCCGGGACGGGCGAGGGCAGTGACCGCCCGAACCCGCAGGCCTGTGTTGCAATCCCGCTGAGTGAGCCGTGACGGGAGCCAGCGGCCGGGCTTGGGCCGGCGCCCTTCGCTCATCTGTGTGAGGAACAGGCTTCTTTCTCGTGAGAGGGCGCGTTGTAAATGAGGCCGCCTTGAATTTGTTAGTTTCTCTCTCCTGGGAGTTGCAGCAGCTTTTCTGTTCCTTGGAAAACAGGCTTTGTGGAAAGAGGGCGGGTCCTCCATTTTGCACACCATGCTGGAGAGGAGGCCTACCCAAGGCCACCCAAAAAGTCACAACGGACGAGCCTCGGTGTTAACGTTCAGATGCACCAAGCTTCCGGGACTTTCTCTGATTGCTTTGAGGTTTTTCGAAAGCTCCCCGCGAACGTCTGCTCAGGCCCGGTGCTGCCCGGCGCGTGCTGAGCTGGACGGGGGTGGCGGGGTGTGAGGGGGTGGGAGGAGAGCAGAGGAAGGGGGTGCGTCCTGCAGACCGGCCCAGACCCCCGCACCCTGTTTAAGCCAAGGTGGACTTGTGGAGGGCTTCACCCGATGGCGTGGATTTGGGGCCAGGGTAGGCTCCGACGGCGCTTCTGCCCATGGCCTCTGCGGCCACCCGCGTGGACAGGACAGGCGCCCGGGACCCCGTGTCTCCAGTAGCTCTCTTCTGAATCGGATGCGGTGGGTCCACATCCGGCTGGTGGAGGCTCACGTTGCCTTGCGGGAGCCCTGCATGGGCGGTGGGCAGCTGTGTCTGCAAGGCCCACTCTCTGGGGTCACCGATCATAATGCACGTGTCTCTAGAGGAAATGATGGCCGTTTGAGTTCTCATTTCCCCCCAACAGTAGCGGCACCTCTTGGCCCAGGGTGCCCCGGGAGTTGGAAGAGCTGGTCGGGGGTGGTGGGCACCTCTGGGCACACAGCGTGGCCTCTGCTTGCCTCGAGGCGTGGGTGGGAGAGACAGGGCCCATACCTGAGCCCACATGCTTCCTCACCTTCAAATCTGCAGCGTGTGATGGGCGACTCGTCAGCACCAGCCACAGCCCTGCCCTGGTGGCGGCTGGTGCTGACAAGGGCTGCTGCTCGGGGGGGCTGGCCACCCGGGGAGGGGTGCTGGCTGAGGGCGCCCTTAGGAGACCAGCGTGTTCTGGAAGAGCTGATAGGACATGCAGGTGTCTGCTGGTGCCGCCGGCTCAGCGTTTCACAGTGGAAGTATTGAGAAATCAGCAGAGGTCATGTTGAATGGAATTTGCTGTCTTATCTGAGTGGCTGCTTCCTAGAGAGCGGCAAGGATCTGTGCCCAGGTCTGGGACCTTGTCCTCACCCCTCAGGCCTCCCCGGCCATCTGGGTGCATATTTTGGCTCCCTCAGAAACACGCCTTTCTCCTGGCCTTGCGGCGAGAAGCAGTGTGTAAGCGTCTCCTGTCTCTGCCTGGCTCTCAGGGCAGGAAGATCCTGACAGTTTGCGGCACAAATACAACTTCATTGCCGACGTGGTGGAGAAGATCGCTCCGGCCGTGGTTCACATCGAATTGTTTCGCAAGTAAGCGGGCTGCCTCCCCCCACCTCTGCGGGGGCCCCGGCCAGTGCCGCCTCTGGCAACACCTCGGCCCACTCCAGACACTTGTCAGGGTCACTGAGGCTTCTGCTCCGGGAAGGGTGTGTTTCTCCCTTAGGGTGGTTCCGGTTACTTCTTCAGCCCACGCTCCAGGTGTTTTGAGGGGGGCTGGCTCTGAGGACACACTCTAGGGGTGGACTGAGAGTGGAGCTTTGTGAGGAGTGCAGAGGTGGGCAATGTCCCAGCACCTAGAGTGACAGCTGCACCGTTGCAGGGGCAGGGGCAGTGGGGTGATGGGCTGGCAGTGGGGCTGGGGGGGGCGGTCGGGTTTAATCAGGTGCCGTCCTCTGCTTCCAGGCTTCCTTTTTCTAAGAGGGAGGTGCCGGTGGCCAGTGGGTCTGGCTTTATTGTGTCCGAAGACGGACTGATCGTGACAAATGCCCACGTGGTGACCAACAAGCACCGGGTCAAAGTGGAGCTGAAGAACGGCGCCACGTATGAGGCCAAGATCAAGGATGTGGACGAGAAGGCGGACATCGCGCTCATCAAGATCGACCACCAGGTAGGCGCCCCACGGCGCAGCCGAGTCCGGGGGCCCGGCCCGACCAGGACAGCCCGCGAGGTCCGAAGGCACCAAGGGGCCCTGACACAGGTGTCAAGGGCTGCTCAGAGCCCTGGATCTGGGCCACAGCGCAGTCTGGGCGAAAGGGGGGTACCCGGGGGCCTGGGCAGGGAGCTGGTGCTGCGGGATCGGGGCGCCTTTGGATGGTGTTTGGCACTGTTATGCATGAGAGCAGCTGGTTTAGAAAGAAGCGCAGTCGGGCGCGGAAAGGGAGGCTCCTCCGTGGTTCACGTGTCGCTCCAGACTTGGGCCCACGGGGGTATTCACCACCCGGAAGAATTTATGGGGGTTTGAACGGACACATTCACGCCCGCCCCGAGAGCAGCCAGGTCTCCCTGGCGGGTTTTCAGGGCCGCCTGGGGTGTGTGGAAACCACGCCGTGCCGGAAAAAATTCTGGAAACCTTGAATTAAAACGAAGCCAGTGGTTTCCCCCCTGACAGGACTTCTCAGAGCTGCTGACGTGCAAACATGCCCAGGACGCTGTGCCCTGGGCCGCAGCCCAGCAGAGAGCCACCTGAGCGTGGAACCTTTGTAGTTCCACAGGGACTCAGTTGGGGCCATGTCGTGTCCACAAATGGTTGGTTTCTTTGAAGCCATCCGAGCCGTGGAAGCCCAGGCTCCGTCCTGACACTAAGCCAGCTCGCGTGAAACCCCGAATTCCCAGCTGTGGTCTCACTGTCAAGCGCGGAGCTGACGGAGGCTTGGTTCGCCGTGGGACGTGGCCCTGCAGCTGCACCTGCAGGTTTCTGTGCGCCCTATCATTCCCCCAACTTCGTGCCAAGGGAGACGCTTCCTGCCAGCTCCCCGCGGCGCTGCTCACCTGGATATGCTGTGAGCGTGCCCGCGGCCACTGGCCTTAGCAGGACTGTGCTGGGTCTTACTTCCTTTCGGCGACCGTGGAATTTTAGCAGCCACTCGTCTTTCCCAGCTCCTGCTTCTTAAGCCCCAGCGCTGGTCCAGGCTCTGCCTTCGTTTGTAACTTTCACCTCGGCTGCAAGATGTTGTCTTACCCGAGTTTATGGAGGAGATGGACTCAGGGCGCTTCAGTAACCTGCCGGAGGCCACACAGCAGGTGACCTCTGGAGCCCGCCTGCTGCTGCCTCATGGCCAGGCCGTGCCGCCACTGGAGGGCTGGCGCCTGGGCTTTAGGGACTTAAAATAGCCAGAGGCACCCCCCTCCTTTGGGGACATGCTGCTGGAAGGGTGTCCAGGATGTGGTAGCCTCTCAGGAAGAAGGCGGCCACACCGGGCTTCCCAGCTTTGCCAAATCCTGGGGTGGGGGCAGCCCCGGGGGCCCCTGCAGGCAGTGTGCTGCTCCACAGAGCAGCTTCATGTGTGGATCGTGTGGGCGCGTCCTGTGTGACTGTCTGGCCCGGGGAGATTCTTTCCAGACTGGGCGCTGGTGCAGCCTAAGCTGCGCGGCCCCCGGCGTGTCCGGGCAGGATGGAGAGCTCGCCGCCGCCCCGACCGCGTTTCTGCCCTGGCTCTTGCTGTGCCGGGGAGTCTCACCCTCCCTCCGCCCAGCCCGTGAGCCGAGATGCGTCTGCAGCCCAAGAGCGAGCGAGGAGCCTGAGAACGTCAAGCTGCCCTGGAGCGGCCGGGGGTCCACGGCAGGTTCCCACAGCAGACTGGTTCCCCTGACTCAGCCGTTCAAAGTGGGGCGCGTAGAAGCCTCTCTTCTGCTCCTCCCCTGGGGCCTCCCTAGCTTGACGCTGGTTGTTGGGAAGAGGGGGTGGGGGTGCGGTCCAGCTGGGAAGGAGCTGCTCACCTGGGCTCACCCCATCATGGGGGTTATGGACCTGCAGGCAGAGCACGGTGGGGTATGAGCTGGTCACACTGTGTCGCCTCAGAAACACCCACAAAGGAGACACAGAGCAGGGCCCTGAGGAAGCAGGGCAGAGCCAACAAAAACTGGGCTTGAGGATTGAAAATCGTTGCCAAGGCTGCTGCCCGGGGGAGACCACAGCTCTGCTGTCCAGGCTGTTTCCTGATACCCCCTGAAGCGGTGCGGCTGCCCCGCACCCCATGCCTGGGCCCAGTGGCTAAGGGGCCCACTGTCTGCACCCCCAGGCATCATGGTTTCACTTGGAGGGTCCACTGGGCCTTGAGCAGCTGTGTCCTTCCCGAGAGCCGCACCGCTGCTGGCCAAACGGGTGGTCGCCATGGACAGCTGCTCCCACTGTCATGCACCCTCTTGTCATGCAGCCGCCCTGGGGAGCCAGCTTCCCCTGCCAGGCCTTCTCCCCTGCTGCAGACTTGATGGCCCAACGGCTGGAGAGGGTCCCCCAGCCCCTAGGGCCAACGACACAGATCCCGCTAGCCCAAACACATCCTCCCCTGGGAATTGAGCTGACTGTCACCCACAGAAAGTGACATGATTCACGGGGGGCGTCCCTGCTGCTGGGACACCCCGACCCTGCCTGACTGCCCACCCCTCTGAGCCTGATTTTCAGATTTTCCCTTCCATTCTTAGACCTCCCCTCACATCTCCATCGAGCCCCCCCCCCCACCTCCACCCTTGATTTGAAGTTGCCAGAGGCGTTTCTGGGCTTGAGACCAAAGAGCTGTGTTTTGCTGCTTGGTGCTGAGCAGACAGTGTGTGTCTCCCTGCTGAGCCATCAGATGAGGAGCAGCTTTGGAAGCACCAGCCCTGACACGTGTGGGTTATCTGCCGCCCCCTCCCAGGCAGGAGGAGGGGGTTCCCCTAGGGACTAGCCCCCCCCCACCCCGGCTTCCCCCAGCTCCCCTTCTGTTGCTTCTGACCTAGAAATTTCAAGACCTCTTTCCTTGGGGCCTGTGAGTGGGGCCAGCACCCCTGGAGGGAATACCAGCTGCAGGAAGAAGACAGAGGCATGCAAACATTTTAATAGAAAGCAGCTTGGAGGGCGAACCAGTTCAGCTTTGGAACACTGCTCCAAATGTGTTCACATGACACTGGTGTGTCTGCCGGACTTTGCAACTATCCATCCAAAGGCAGCATTTTGGAGGCAGTTTTTCCTGAGTAGTTCTGATGGCGAGGGAGAGAGAAATGAAAAAAGGAAGACATTTGGTTTGTGTTTGTTTAGGCCCAAGTACAGGGTAGAAATACAGGGGCTATATTGAAGGAGGCAAGAGGAGAAGTTACTTCCCTTCCAGCTATTTCTCCAGCTGTGTTGACTAGGACCCCCCCGCCCCCCCACCCCGGGGTGACTGCACTTTCAGATCAGGTCTTGTCTAGGGAATAAAACCCTCTAAAGCCCTCTGCATTTACCTCACTTTCAAAGAGATGTGGTGCCTGCCCAAGGCCTTGCAGGCCAGGCAGGCCAAGGTGGCTTCCCCGCCCGCAGCTGCTCCCCAGGGCTGGGCTGGCTCACTGCAGCTCCATGATCTTCCCTCCTGTCCTTCCCTTTGGGCCTTGGCTGCCGTCCCGACCCAGCCCTCGGCCCTCGGCCCTGTCCTCTGGGAGCGTGTTTCCCCTCCTTGTACCTTTATCCTATCAGTTGTCTCAGTTACTCGTCCCTTAGTTCCTCTCACCACTGGCGTGTGAGGGACGCACCTGTCCACCCCCTGGACAGGACAGGAGGGAGGCGCTCAACAGCAGTGTCCAGTGTCTGAGGATGAATTTCAGGCCCTCAGCTCAGAAGGAAGCAAAGCGTGTGTGTGTGTGTGTGTGTGTGTGTGTGTGTGTGTGTGTGTGTGTGGCGGGGCTGACGGGGTCCCTGGACATCTCA